GGGGCCACGAAGCGTGTGAGGGGTGTGCCGAAATGGGGCGGGGCCGCCATGCGAACCCTGCCACTGGGGCCTTCGGAGGAGCTCCCGTTGGCGCCACGAAACGTGTGAGGGGTGTGTCGAAATGGGGCGGGGCCGCCATGCGAACCCTGCCACTGGGACCTTTGGTGGAGCTCCCTATGGGGCCACGAAACGTGTGAGGGGTGTGGTGTCGAAATGGGGTTTGGCCACCATGCGAACCCTGCCACTGGGGCACACGGTGGAGCTCCCTATGGGGCCACGAAACGTGTGAGGGGTGTTCACATGGGGCGGGGCCACCATGCGAACCTTGCCACTGGGGCCTGCGGTGGAGCTCCCTGTTGAGGCAACGAAGCGTGTGAGGTGTGCGCCGAATTGGAGCCGTGCCGCCATGCGAACCCTGCCACTGGGGCCTTCGGCGGAGCTCCCTATGGGGCCACGAAACGTGTGAGGGGTGTGTCGAAATGAGGCGGGGCCGCCATGCGAACCCTGCCACTGGGACCTGCGGTGGAGCTCCCGCTGGCGCAACGAAACGTGTGAGGTGTGTGCCGAAATGGGGCGGGGCCGCCATGCGAACCCTGCCACTGGGACCTTCGGTGGAGCTCCTTCTGGGGCCACGAAGCGTGTGAGAGGTGTGCCGAGATGGGGTGGGGCCGCCATGCGAACCCTCCCTCTGGGACCTTCGGTGGGCGCTAGGGAGGAGGGAGGAGGAGGGAGGGGGCAGCGGGAGGAGGAGTGGTGGGACGCGGGGCGCTCTCTCTTCAAAACGAGAGCACACCAGCACAGGATGGTTGGGAAATAGCGAACACTCATGCCACATTCATCTGTCAACGCCTCCCCCCATGTTCGAAGTTGGCGGTGGGTCTGATGAGTCGCACCTCGACCGCAGTCTCCCCCGCGCGTGCCAACCTTGAGTTTGGGGGGGAGGGGGAGTGTTCAGTAGTTGTTTCCCTCCACCGTCGCCCCTCGACCGACCTCCCCCCGTGGTCCAACCCACCGCCGCCCTGCCCTTGCGACTCCCCTCGCCCGCCCCCTGCCCGACCCCACATTCCTGGGGGGAATACCTCGACAGAATTCATCGAGGTCTCAGGCCGAAGTAGCCTCGATCCAGTCAAGTGGTTGATATTGCTTCGCAATCGTTCCGTGTCCGAATCCGAATCCGACCCCACATCCTCGGGTCTCCGTAAAAACTTGGAAGCATGTTGGGAACAGTACGTCTGTGGACGTGGAGCCCTGAAGTCCGCTTCTGCCCGTTCGGCTTCTCGAGCCCCCCCACCCCCGATCCGGCCGGCCGGTGGCCCCCCCGCCCCCCGGTCCGCCTCCCCGGGGCCACGAGCAAAACGACGCGAAGATCGGGACAAAATCGGATCGGGATAACTCGAAATCTCTGAGAATCGGCGGGTTTGGAGGATGTATTGGGCGCCGCGGCCGCTCCAGAGCGTTCCGGAACGCTCTGAGAGCGCTCCGGAGCGATTTATCCCGATCCTAGCCCTGTTTTGACGAGTGCACGCTCCGCGCGGCGGTCGTGGACCAGCGCCCGCGGCCTCGCGCCGCGCTCGGCCGGCCCCCGCAAATTCGGAGAGTCCACGGGCAACAATTGTCACGGGTGACTCGGCCCGAAGTTGATTTCTACGTCCGGCTGCTACGGGGCGGAAATTCGGTCAGTTATTTCTGATCAACAGGTGTTTCAAACGTCATCGTGTGCGCTCCCATCTTCTCCAAAAGAAAGAAAAAATCGGAGAGGCCACGGCCGGAGGGCTCGGGGAGCCGGCGGGGGGGATGCGAGGCGGCGGTCGGCGGCTCGGCTCTCTCGCTGCGGCGGCGATCGGAGTGCCACGCGGCTTCTTTCCGAGAGGCCCCGACGGGGGGGGGCGGCGGCTCGGCGCGCGGGCCCCCCCCCCGGACTCCGGATCCGCCCTACTTTGGCTTTTTTTTCCAACTTAAATTATCCAGCAAAGCAACCTAACAGCGATGTGTAGGAGCATATCTGGAAGCATTCCCCTTAAGATTCACATGAGAATCCAGTTGTAGAATTCTGCTGTTCTCGCAGTCGCAGTCGCATTCGCGATGAAAGTCGCAGTCGCAGTCGCATTTGCGTCGGAAATTCACCTATAAGACGCTGGAAAAGTAGGCCGGAAATTTCTGCACCCAACATATAACATAGGGCGGAAATTCACAGAAGTGGGGCGGAAACATCCGCAGAAAAGTAGGGCGGGAATTGGCATCCGCGGGGCTTGAAAAGTAAGGCGGAAATTCCAAGTTCCACTTAAGAATTTCCCCAAAGTAGGGCGGATCTGGAGTCAGGGCCGCCACTCGGAGTCCGCAAAACTTCGATGTCACCGGCAACGGAGTCTTCGGGGCCTCGGCCCGAGTGGGTCACCCAGCGCGTTCCACTACTCGCAAAGTGCCTACCCGCAAGCGTTCGAAACATATGTGTGTCGGCTCTGGTGTCATGTATCGTAGATCCCCCGCGGCGTATCCAGGCCATTTGCGAGTACACGCCAGTCGTTGAAAGTAGATATTTCTGGATTCCCAGATCCCAATCTACTTTTGGCGCCTTCCTACTTCAAGGACCGACAGGTTTCCTTCTTCCCTCCTCTGCAGGGGGCGGGCGGAAGCCCAATCTATTTCCAACTCCTTCCTACTTCACGTTTCTACCCATTTCGTCCGACCATCGTGTAGTTACTTTGCGAGCAGTGGAACGCGCCCGTCTCGTTGAAGGACTTCGGGGTTGGCCGGCAGAGTCCAGGTGCCCGTGTCTGCAGGACCACAGCCTCGGGCACGATGCCCCAAAAAAACGCCGTCGCTCTCTAGCCACAGAGCGTATGCAGGCACATTGGTTGTCGTTGCGTATCTATATAAATATATATCGACAGGTTTATATCTATATGTGTATGACTCGATCGATACATCGATACATATTTATACATATATATATATATATGCATATGTCGATATACATATATGCGTATGTGTGTACATACATACATACATATATACGTATATATCGCCATGTATATTTATATATATGTATGTCAATCTATTTATATATATATACATATACATATATAAATTTATAATATATATATATTCATCTATATTTAATTATATCTATATATCCGTCTACATAGCTATCCGTCTATATATATAACTATATATATATATCGATGTAAATATGTATACACCAATACCTATACATATATGTATATAGCTAGCTATCTATATATACATATACCTATATATATACCTGTCTAGCCATATATATAGCTATATATCTAGCTACCTATCAATCAATCAATCAATCTATCTATCTATCTATCTATATACAGATACACTCGGGGTGGGCGCGTCTATACACAACGCGGTCGATGCGTTCGGCGCAGTGCAGGGTCGGAGAAGCTGCAGATCCGTCTGCGACGTGTTCCTGTCCCTGAGCAGGTCCCACGTGCTCGACCCCAGGAGAGGCAGCAGCTGGCGGTGCGGGGGTCTGTGTCCTGGAAAGGCTGGCAGGCCCTCGGGTCTATCGCGTGGACGTCGCTGGCGAGACGGGTGAGGAGTTAGCCCAGCTTCTCCACATGCAGGCGCGCCGTGTCGATGCTAGCCCTTTGGCTCAACATGTCGGCGTTGCGCTCGTTCAACTGTTCTGAGAGGTCATCAGGTTGAGCTGAGATGTTTATGACGTTCTGGTCCGTCAGCGTCTCCTCGAAGATCGGAGGGACGTCATCTACATTCTGATGCATCTTCTTGGTCTCGATGTGCTCTGTCTTCTCAACCACTGCGCCGAGAAAGTCCGCCTCTTTTGCTGGAACTTCGCGAGCTGGCGCTGTTTTGAGCTCGGCTTCTTGGAGTTCATTGGAAAAGGGACTACCCTTCTTGCCAACGGTCTGCATGCCACGATCGGCACTGGGGTAGTCTGGTGAGATGTCTAGTGGTCCAGAAGATGCCGGAATCTCGCAGGTAGAGCTTGACATATTGGCCTCGGTATGGTCGATCCCCCAAGGGTGGTGTCTGGGTGGACCAACAGTTGTTCGGCTTTGCTCTGGCGTTGGAGCCTCTTCGCGAGATCTTGCGCCCATCGCAGCGCAGCTCGTGGATCGAGTCTTACACGTCGGGCACTCGCATCAGCTGCATGATCTTCTGCACGAGCTCGAGCGTGTGGTGACCGCTCTGCGCCTGGGTCTCAAGGGAGGTAGGAGGCAGGAGGTAGGCACGAAGGAAGACGGATGGTGGAGGGAGGCCGGAGGAGGGGTGGAGGGACAGGGGAGGGCGAGCTGTGGAATGTGGAGCAGGAGGAGCGAGAAACGACGATGAGGGAGCACGTGGCGCGAGGGCGCTGGAGGATGGAGGACGGACGCTGGAGGATGGCTGGAGGATGGGTGCGGGAGGAAGGAGGAGGGAGAGTGTGGAGGGTTTCTCCGAAGGGCTTAGGCGACCCCTACTCCTCCTGCTCCTCCTCTTCCTCCTCCTCCTCCTCCTCCTCCTCCTCCTCCTCTTCCTCCTCCTCCTCCTCCTCCTCCTCCTCCTCCTCCTCCTCCTCCTCTCAATCTCCTCCTCCCCCCCCTCCTCCACCTCCTCCTCCTCCTCCTTCTCCTCCTCCTCCTCCTCGGGTCGCCTACGGCCCCGATGGAAACCGTACAGGAGAGTGACGGATGGATGGACAGACCTAGACCCCCGACGCCGTGATTTTTTCGCAACGCCGACCCCCAGACAGAGGTCTCGACCCTTTCCCGGGGATTGGCTTTTCATCCTGAGTCGTGGTTGGACGGTCCCGAGGCCCGGGAAGGGCTCCCCGAGGCCGAACATAGCGAAACACTTCCCGTCGTGATTCTTGTCACAGCGCGAGGGGGTCTGGGGACGAGGAGAGAGGAGGAAGAGGACCGCGTCAGGAGATCGGAGGGCTGGGTCCAGGCGAAGCGAGAGCGGGCCCGAGAGCGGCCGCGCCCCCCCCCCCCCCGCCCGCGCGGCCCAGCGCCGCGCGCCCCGAGGCCTACGCCGCGCCCGCGCCGCCGGCCCCGACGGAGGCGGCGGAGCGCGCCCCGCCCGCGTGGGGGGGGGGCGGCTGGCCTTCGGGTGCCGGGAGGGTCGCCCGCATCCTCCTCCCTCCCTCTCGTCATCTCCTCCTCTCCTCCTCTCCTCTTCCTCCTCCTCCTCCCCTCCTCCTCCTCCTCCTCCCTCCTCCTCCTCTTCCCTCCTCCTCCTCCTCCTCCCTCCCTCCCTCCCTCCCTCCCTCCCTCCCTCCCTCCTCTCCCTCCCTCCTCCTCCCTCCCATCCCTCTCCCTCCCTCCTCCTCCATCCCTCCCTCCCTCCCTCCCTCCCTCCCTCCCCCTCCTCTCCCTCTCGCGCCCTCTAGTCCTCGCCTCCTTTTTCCTCCTTCCTCCTCCTCCTCCTCCTCCTCCTCCTCCTCCTCGCTCCTCGTTCCTCCTCCTCCTCCTCTCCTTCATCCTTCATCCTCCTCTCCTCCTCCTCCTCTCCTCCTCCTCCTCCGTCATCTCCTCCTCCTCCCCCTCCTCTTCCTCCTCCTCCTCCTCCTCCGCCAGCTGTGCCACTGGGACCCTTTTCCCCGGAAAACAGGCGGGTAGCAGCCCGATCGTCAACCTTGTTTGCGCCAGTAGAGGGTCAAGGGAGAAGAAACTTGCTCTCGTCGCCAGCGGACACCCATGTAGTGGGTGTGGTGGGTAGGATGGGCGTCGGAGCACGGACTCCGGCGCCCCCTACCCCGAACAGGGCGCGCGGAGCACGGTCTTTTTGCGCGCCCTGCTTCACGCACTTAGCGCGCCACGGGGCACGGCCCTGGACCGTTGGCGCGCGCCTGCTGGCACTCCCCTGTTGGGGAGGTGCTCGGGCTCTTTTCCCTTCAGTCGGGCCCGTGTCCGAGTCGCCTTCAGGTGTCCCTGGCACGCTTTGCGCCGCGCTTGATGAAACTCCTCCTCCTCCTCCTCCTCCTCCTCCTCCTCCGCCTCCTCCTCCTCGTCCCACTCCGCCTCCTCCCGAAGCAGACCGAATGCAGTTCTGGGCGGTTTTTGATGTTTTAGAAAGCGAGCAAGAAGCCGCCCAAACTGTCCACAAGCGGCCGCAGCCCTCGCTCTCTGCACGCGGACGGGCCGCACGTTGTGATTCGTGTTTCGTTGCATGCGATCCCGCTCCGTGCGAACGGTGGCGCCGAATTCCTGGAGCAGGCATTGCCTGATTTCCGCATGCGCCACACCCACGCCCACAGGAACTCGCGGCACCGATCCCGATCCGAAGCGTGGGCGTTGTCTGGGATGCTGCCGCGCAACTCAGGACACAGGCCGTCGCAGCAGTGCGTGTTTTTCTTTATCTGAAAACTAATAATAATAATAATAATAAACAAAAAAACAAAGGCAACGGGCGCCCGTTCGGGCGCACAACGCGCGCGGCCGACGACGGCCCACCGCTCCCCATCGTGGGAAACTATGCTGTGCGACAGCTTCAAGTGCTTATGATGAGCAGTGAAGCGATTTGCGCTGAAGCGAGGAGGGCCCTTGCTCTCGTCGTTGTACGCAGCGCGGCTTGTCGGGGCCACAGATTGGCACGCGCTTGCGCCGTCGGCTACAACGTAAACTTGCAAGGCACGAGGACCCAAGAGAGGATCTCGTCACACTCGGGCCCGCTGAGCGATAGGCCGCTCCCTCCAGCAGCACAGGCGCGTTGGAGCAACTCGACAAAAACATCGCCAACTGCCGCCGCCTCCGAAGACTGACGCACATACATCGGTGATGCAACATCCGATATCGCCCATGGGGTGCTCACCGCACGTCTGACCCGCGGCTCCCCACGAGGGCATCGCAAAATGCGGTGCCCTGCTTGCTGCCACGAGCCGTTGCGCCGCCAGTAGCAGTTCGTATTCTGCTGCGTTTGGGAGTGGGTGCCCCCGGGAATGATGCACCTGTAACACCGCGTTGGTCCCGCAGCTCCAAGCAGCGCCCGTGTGATGTTGCGTAGCTTCGGCGTAGCACTTCGTACTGCTACGGCGGCGTGTGAAACGTTTTTTTTTCCGAGTTTTGCGATCTTCTCCCCTTTTCTGATACAGCAAATTTCCCAAGTGGTGCGAAACATATACAATCGCAATGGAATGCGACCTCAGCGTTACAATCCCCACAACAGCCACCAACAGTTGAATTCCGCGGCACCGACTTCAATTCAATACGCTCACACGCCCAAGCAACATACAACCCTACATCCTTACAAGGAGAGCTTTTGGTTTTCGATTGCCTCGTCGATTCTGCGGCAGCCCCCCTGTAGCTCGCTTGTAGTTCGTCGGCAGCCTCGGGTAGCCATCGGTGGCGTTTTCGGTAGCCTCGAGTCGCCCTCGATAGCGTTTCGGGGGTCCCGGTGGCGTTTCAAGAGCCCTTTCGGTAGCCTCGGGTATCCATCGGTAGCGTTTCGGTAGCCTTCATGTCTCCCTCATGTATCCCTCATGTCTCCCTCGCTCATGGCTCACGCATGGCTCCTTCATGTCTCCTTCATGGCGCTCCCTCATGGCTCCATCATGCATCCCTCATGTCTCCATCGTGGCTCCACTATGGCTCCCTCACGGCTCCCTCATGGTTCCCGCGTGACTCACCCACGGGTCTTTCATGTCTCCCTCGTGTCCCCCTCATGCCTCCTTCATGGCTCCTTTACGGGTCCCTCATGGCTTCCTCATGGCTCCTTCGAGGCCACCTCATGGCTCCCTCACGGCCCCCTCATGGACTATGGACTACTCATGGCTCCCCCATGGCTCCCTCATATATCCCTCATGGCTCCCTCATGGCTCCCCCATGGCTCCCTCGTGGCCCCTCCATGGTTCCCTCGTGTGGTTCCTCCATGGCTCCTTCACGGCTCCCTCATGGCCTCATGGCTCCCCCACCGCTCCCTTCTGGCTCCCTTATGGTTCCCTCATGTCTCCCTCATGGCTCCCCCATGGCTCCCTCATGGCTCCCTCATGGCTCCTTCATGGTTCCCTCATGGCTCCTTTACGGGTCCCTCATGGCTCCCTCGAGGCCACTTCATGGCCCCCGCACGGCTCCCTCATTGCAACCTCGCGGATCCCGCATGGCTCATTCATGGCTCACCCATGGCTCCCTCGCGGCGGCTCCCTCATGGCTTCCTCGGTAGCCCTTCGGTCGCTTTGCGGCCGCTGCGATGCCCCCAGGAGGCTCCCAGGAGGCCTGGCTCCCAGGAGGCCTCAAGACTGCCTCCTCCGTCATGTAATTATTCTCCTCTTTCCCCCTTCTCCCGAGTGCCACCCGCCAGCCTGGATGCAGCTTGGACGCCCCCAGAAGATCTCCCGAACTCAGGCGTTTTGTTTGTTATGTTTTCTGGCGGCTTCTGCTTGGGCCGCGAGTGGAAGCCTCCAGAGGCCTGAGGCGCAAAGCTGAAAAAAAAACTTTCAAAGTCACCCAGGCCTGCATACAGTCTGGCGCCCGTCCTCATCCTCCTCATCGTTTCCGCCCTCCTTTCCGTTTTTCATAGATCACCGAGCGCGTTCGCAAAGTGTGTACTCGCAAACGTCCGAAACACACATGCTTGCCTCGATGGAATGGATCGCAGATCCCCGCATGGCAGATCCACGCCGCTTGCGAGTGGCGACTTTGCGAGTAGGGAACGCACTCGTTTAATAAAACAATGCATCCTCCCTGTCGCACCCCGACGCGTGTCGGTAAGGCGGGTTGGGCGTTTCGTTTGACATTCCTGTGCCCTTCATGTTCTTGAAATGGGGCGACATTCAAGAGTTTCACGGTTGGAGGGCGGGTCGTTTCTAAAATATGGTTCTCGTCGTATCGCCGGCCTCATCGCTTCAACATGTTGGAAGAGCTTCACGGATGGAGGGCGGCTCGTTCTCAAAATGTGGCTGTCGCCTTAGCGCCGCGCGCATTCGTTAAAATACCAGCGGTGTCTATGAGTCTTATGGCTGACGCCCCAGGAATAGCATTCAGGCACGGTTTAGGATTGTCCTGGCGCAACAGTCACGTTGATTCGCGGTGTTGACGTCTCTGGAATGATTTTCTGGCGCGGTTCAGGATCGTCAGGACGCAATCGTATCGTTGATTTCGCGGCGTTGTATTCCCAGGGATGTTTTTTTTTTGGCACAGTTGAAGATTCTCTGACGGTCTTGTTCGAACGGAGCATTTCCAGCAGAGAAAGTCGATTATCGCAGGGCCCTATACAGGGAAGTTTGAGGGATGGTTTACTTCAACATCGTCGACGCGCTTTGGGTTTACACTGGTCCTGCCTCCTCCTCCACCTTCCCGCTCGTCCTCCTCCTCCCCCTCCTCATCCTCCGGACTCTTAGCGGGCGGGGTCTGAAACCATGAACCCGCGGAGAGCTCATCGTCTTCCTCGTTTCCCCAGAGGCAGCTCCTCGGAACAGCCAAAGCCAATGCATGCGTGTAAATCTATATATATATATATATATACACAAGACTGATTTGTCTCTTCGCACGTTCTTCATTTGTTCTCGTACTCGGTATACACATTCGCGCGCCACCCGGATGTCTTTTGGAGTGCGTTTGGGCGGATTGCGGGTCGGGCCCGATGACGCGGCGACGATGGCACCACCTGGGGGCCCCAAGGAGGCAGGGCTTCGCCACGATCAGAGCATGCGAATACAGGCATGAAGGAAGCGGCGCAGGCGGATGCTGAAAGCATCTAAGCCAACGGCTACGGATGCAAGGGCACGCACACAATTGAAGGACACGCTCCGGTGAATGACGTGGAAAGCCCTCGTGTGGCCCACACGCTGGCCCGTCCGTGTCCCACGCGGTCTGGGCGCGCAATGCGAAGCAATGGCAGGCCATACGAATGCATGTCAAACAAAGCAACGCACTGCAGATCAATGCCGCCAGATACGAAGCAGCGCAATGTCAAGCAATGCCGCCTTGGCTCTGGAAATACCCCGAAAACCGGGGTTCGCCACGGATTTCCCGGGAATTTTGTTGCGAATGCGGGATTCGAGTCAGTTCGGTGTATTTCGTAGAAAGACGCCTTTGAGAGGACGCACGACCGTGCAAAAGAATGA